GTTTTTTTTCTTGTTCTGTTTCTTTGGATTTCACCATAAATCCAGGGCGAGTCCACATGTCCCCTTTTCTCCTCAGAATTGTCATTCTGTATTCTATTTTTAATAGAAAATCTTGACAACATATTGGTCCGGCCAAATGGACTGGAGTTTTTTCCGAGTTGCTGGCCCAGCGATTTTTGATCTTGGAGGCTTTTCCTTCCTCTGAACTCAACTGCAGTGGAAAGTTGGCTCAGGACTGCCCGGTAAAGCACTACCGTGGCATGGGCCTTGGAAGAAGGGGTGTCTGGAAGACCGTCAGCAACATGCTCCATGATGCTTCCTCTGGCTGGCTTCCCTTGTGGAGGGAGACTGTTGGGTGGTCATTATAAATGCAGCTTGCAGGAGGCTGGCATCCTATTGACCTTCTCTTAAGGGGAAGTTCCACCAGAAGAGATGGCAGATCATTTTTGTGGAGCAATCCTGAATGACGATGGTGGGCAGACCTTCTGCTCAGCAGAAGCTCTATAGGAAGTAAAATAAATAACCAAATGGTCCACCTCTTCTGCGAAATCAACGACCAAGCTTTAAAATTTTGCTGACAAACAAAGAAGCAACCTGCAAAGTTCCTGCAGGACTTCCAGAAATGGTACCCGAATGTTCCACAAAGCACCTCCCAGCCAATATTTATGAGCTTCAGACCTCCTAGGCGTGAAAGAGGGCAGATGTTCTGAATCTGCCATCATCAAAGTTGGTGGTTCCCAACCTTGGGTCCCCCGAGCTTCCTGGATTATAGCTCCCCGAAATCCTGGCAAGCAGAGCTGGTGGTGAAGGCCTCTGGGAGTTTTAGTCCAAGAACATCTTGGGGAGAAAAGGTTGGGAATCACTGATACAGGTGATAATGGACATCAGCTACCTAGAATCCTTGCCGTTGACCATGCTTAGGAATGAAAGCCCCAAATTTCTGGAGAACCTAGACTGGGAACTGCTGGTTTTGACCATGGCCCTCAACAACCCTTAAACTACTGTAGCTGTGCTTCCTTCCCCATCAGCCGGAGATGATGAGCTCATCCGCTGATGGACTGGGCTGACGCTCAAGACCGTTCTAGGCCCACTTCCCAAATCTCACACACATGTTGTGCTTCGTCCAGCCTCGGGCTTTCTTTCTGCCACGTCTCTCCTTCCTTTCTTGGCATGGACAGCTCGTCGTATTTGCAAAGCCAAACGACAGGATCCAAGTGACACTGGGGAATGGCACACTGACATTGCAATTCCATTGACTAGTATTATATAAAAGATTCAAGTTTTAACCAAAATCCTAAGTATCCGTTAAATATCGGTGTAGTATGTACTGTATATTGTTCCTAATATTGCCATATGTTTTTACAGCTCTGATGGTGTTATTTCTGAGAGCTGCAGCTGATTGTAATATCTTATAAAATTCTGTGGAATTGGGGCCAATACTCCAATGACTATGGGGGTCGCTGAAATGTGTTTCATCCACAAGCAAGCCAGGTCTCTGTGTTTTGTTAATTTTTCCAGTTCTTTATCTTCAACTCTGGCATCCCCTGGAATTGCAATGTTGATTATCCGGACCATTCTTTGTTCTATTACTACTGTGTCTGGTGTGTTATGTTCAAAGTGTCTTTCCGGTTGCATCTGGAAATCCCACAAGATCTTGACTTCCTTGTTTTCTGACACCTTCTCTACCTGATATTCCCATGGATTCTTGGATGCTGGCTAATCATCATCAACCTTATATGGAAAGTTTTTCGATATAGATTTTTTTCTTCATTATTACTCTGGTGTTTCCATTATTGAAAAGCGTCTACACATGTGGAGCCCGATGGCTCTTACGTTCTGTAATCCCCATTGTGTGCCTTCGAGTCTGCTAGCAGAGAAACTGATCTCAAACCTCCATCTCCAAGGAATGGTGAGAAACACTGCATGGATCCAGGCTTGCAAAGGACAAACCTTCCCACTGTGCAAAGAGTTATTGCATGTCCAATAAACGCAGCTGGGAAGCTGATGCATAAAGGAACATCTGTCGGCAGCTGGCGGTCCCTCTCCTCCTCGTTTCCTCACCAGCCTTTTCTCTGGAATCCACCCTTGAAAAGAGAAATGCCAACATCATCGGCTAAAGGGGTCGTGATCAAACTTTGCTCAACGCATGCATTCGAGGAGTTACATGGATCTTAGTTTCACAGTTTTGACCAAGGCTGCCCAGATGTACACAGGTGCGTGGTTTTTGGATTACAACTCACAAAACTGAAGAATCACAAATGTCAAAGCTTCCATTCAGCAAATGAAAGTCAGAGTGGAGCCAGCAGAGATGAAAATACTGGGGCAGGGCTGACCCAAGACATTCTGCTGCCTGAGGCACAGCGTCAAAGAGCAACACACTTTTATGGAAGCTTGTTATGCAGATATTTTTATCACTGCTATTGTGTGTCTTTCTGGTGAGACTTTTCTAGTTTTCATTTCCTTCCTTCCTTCCTTCCTGCCTGCCTGCCTGCCTGCCTGCCTGCCTGCCTCCCTGCCTGCTTCTTTGTCACAATATAAATAAAGGAAGCATGCTTTTTGCTCCCTGCTCCCATTGGCAGATCTTGGAATGCTGGGGGGGGGGAAGCAGGGGAGGCTCCTCATCCTGACCTCTTCTGCCCTAGACTGCAGAATTCACAATGCTGGATGGATCAAGGACAGGCCAGCATCATCTCTTGCAACTCTGAAGTAGTGGGAGAGGACACAGGAGTGGTCCACAGGGACTGGGTGAGGCGCACTCCACATATTTATCAGTTGACGCCACTGACACTCAGTTCCACTGCTGCATTCAATAAGAGGGGTGAAATTCGTCCAAAGAAATGCACTGAAGGCCACGAACGCCTTTGCAATGGGCACAGGATCCAGCTCATCTTGTTCATAGCCGCAATAGCAAAATAAAGCAGATGCCACCGTACACAGTACAGACAATGGGGCGGCATCCCCTTGAGCTAATGCAGGGTGTAACAACGGCCCTGCAAGGATGGCAGTCCATCCAACCTCTGGCTTGCACTGCATGCGCTGAAGATCATAAAAATGTAGTGCACACACAGACACACACCTTTGTGCAAACCTTGGAAGGCAGGAAATAAGAGCACGCACAACAGATTGTTTGGGTGCATGGTGAAAACAAGACCAGATCCTGCACGAGATCTTTAAAATTTAGGAGGAAGAGGGGAAGGAAAGAACTCAAGAATTACAAAACAAAATTCTTCAGGAAATGGTGGAAGCTGGTCTAAAAGTTACTTTCTGTGCACAATTCAAGGTGCTGCTGGTTATTCCCTACAAAGCCTGGGACTTGTCAGAAAGTCTCTCCTACGAAACAGCTCCCCGTCTTTTCGCAGGCCATGACGTTCAATAAATTTTAAATTTAACCGCTGCATAATTTGAATGCGATGTGTTTTAGTTCTTTTATTGATGTACACCACCCGAAGTGGATTGTTTTTTTATTTTTTAAAGATTGTTTAAGAGAAGAGCTAAAGCTTTCTAGCGAGAAGGGACTCAGTCCCTCACTGAATGGCAAAGTTGGGGGGGGATCCTGTAAGGGGGGGGGGCGCCAGGACAACAAAAACTTTCCTGGAAATCACTGGATATAGCCGCACGGTTTGGATACAGAAGGAAGAGAAGGTGGATCCACATTTTATGAGGCTAACACAAGATTGTGCGCCTTCCCATAAAGTTCCCTGGTTTCACTTCCATCCTCCTTTTCCTCGAATGAGCTCCAGGTGGAGTCTATGGTACTCCTCACAACAACCCTGGAAGGGAGGCCAGGATGAGAAAGCAGGATTAGGTACAGCCACCCACGTGGCTCAGTGGGGCTAAGACATGAATCCCCTGAGTCTCAGTCCAACCCTCTGACTGCTAAACCACACTGTCTTCCTAGAATTGGGAAGACGTGGAAAATCTGGGAGGGAAGGGCCAGCTCACATCTCTCACCCCAAGTGGGAGGGAGTTCCCCTGGTGCTGCTGCTTGCATTTCACTTGTCCCATCAATAATTCACACCAGGCCAGATGGCAAGTTTTTAAAGGGCGGTCCTGTCCCTGAGGCATGTACAGCTCGGTCCATTCTAGGAGGAAACCAAAAGCAAGATTATTCCACGTTATCATCCCTGTCAGTGCAGGCCTCGGGAATGTTCGTGGAAATACATTTCTCTTTCCGCCTCCCGCTCCAGTGGTGCGATCTCCTTCTTCTCTCCATGTGCTTCTGCAATTCGATATGCAGAGGAAACCATTGCGTACATTCCAACAAAAATAATTCCAGTGGCTCTTCCTGATTCTTCTTTTACACCTTTTTTGCCACTTGAGGGAGCACTCCTTCTAAATACAGTACAGAGTCCTCATCATCTCAGCTGGCCAGACTCTTTAGGTCCTTCTTTCCTTGTGCCTCTGTCAATGGTCTCTATACTCTTGTTGTTGTTGTGGTTGTTGTTGTTGTTAATACAGAGTCCTCATCATCTCAGCTGGCCAGACTCTTAGATCCTTCTTTCCTTGTGCCTCTGTCAATGGTCTCTATACTCTTGTTGTTGTTGTGGTTGTTGTTGTTGTGTTCTTCTTTGTCATCAAGTCCCCTCCAAACCCTGGTGACTTCCAAACGAATGGATGACCTTCAAAATGAGGAAGAGCCCTGCTCAGCTCTTGCAAACTCAACCCCGTGGCTTCTTTTACTAAGTCATTCCGACTCATGGTCGCTTTTCATCACTTCCTGCTGCTTTTCCCTGGAAGCAAACCCACTAAATCCGAAAGTTTTAGGGTTGCACGTGGCCGAGAGTTTAAGCCTTTCCCGTGCTCAACGGGAGCCCTTGAAAGTTTCAGCCAACCGGTTTCTTGGAGCTCAGCTCTTGCCTGTTCAGTAACGAGTTACTCCATGGTAACTCCTACACAGAACAGCAGGAGGAGGACCCGCGCAGCCGGATGCAAGGCCAGGTTGCGCGGCGGTAACCCGATCCCCGCCTGCTTTAGGTCTTGGGACAGGATTAGTCGGCACGGATCAGCGTGGCGGGTTGCAGCCCTCGCGTCACGTCTGAAAGGACCCCGGCCCCTTCTCTCTCTCTCTCTTTCTTCCCCCCCCTTCCCGAGTCTACTGGTTCCTGGGCCGGGCCAGGGGACGACCCCCCCTCCGACATCCATCCACACCCCCACAGCCCCGGCTCGGCCGCCCCGCTTTGCGCGCTGCTTCCAAGGGGAGGAGACTAAAAGTTTCTCCCTCTCGAGGCGCGCCGATCGCGGCAATCGGACCTGCCTGCGGACGGAAGGGGAGGCGAAGCCGCCAGCGCCAGGACTGAGGCAGGGAAGGACGCCGCCGACTCGCCCCACCGCCCCACTTCCAAGGGGGTCGCCGATCCTGGAGGCGGAAGGGACGGGGGCGCCGAGGTGAGCCGCGGCCAGGTCTCTCCAGGGCGCGCGTCTCAGGGCGATGGGGAGACCCCCGGGGGGGGCAGGCAGGGCAGGGCCCACAGAGGACCTAGATGCCAAGGGGGCGTCCAGAAAAGGGGGGCGGGGACGGATCGGTGCATGCACGGACCGGTGTGCAAACTCCCGCCACCCCAAAATGTTCATTGCAAAGTTGCCATTTGGAGGGCAGAAAGTTGCAGCGCCGTCTGGGGAGGAAGGGGTTAAAAGCCAGCGGTGGCGAGAGGAGGAAGGGGGGG